ATTTATTTTAATGTTTCTATAGTATAAAATACCTACAGATTCTGGGTCTTCCTCGCCCGAGAGACGGGTCATTGCGTAAGGGCACGGGTAGTATGCTGCCTCCATTCCCTCACTCTGACGTTTTGTAGAGAGTTTCTCTAGATCAGATAACTGAACTGTTTCCTGTTGTGGCTGTTGCGAAAATTTTCTGGATCCATTAGTGGAGCTTCCTGTACAGTGAAGTTCACATTAACTTTATATTGGTTATACGACTATACTACAACACAATGTAACACAAAGGACTTCCATCTTAGGCACTTCTTAGCCTAAATAATGCCTTGGGATTATGACCGAAAACGTCGTTAACAGCGAAAGTTATCTTAAGGGTGATTCAAAGCATTATAATAAGTATAGATAAGTTTTAGTTTATTGGTACTTCTTATCTGTTCGTTGTATAGAATTGGTTTCATTAATTTATATGTTTTTTTTTTCTCTTAGTTCTGATCATATAATTCGTATACTTTGATTAATAATCAAATAATTCTTCAATTACAGGTATCACTATAAGAATTATAACGATAATAATAATGATAATTTAGTAAACAGTTAGTATACAAAACGTATCAAGAATAATTAACATAATTAGTTATGATTAATGATATAAAATTCACTGTTAAACTTACAATAGTTCATAGAAAACGTGGCCATTCAACTCGTTAATTTTATTAATTAAATTCATGAGTATAACAGTGTAACTGAAAATGTGTATTTGATATAAATACCACACCAAAATATTGATCATGTAAGATTTCTACAACTGTTCAGACAAAATAAAAAAATCAAACACAGCTCTTTTCAAAACAAAAACACATTTTCACGAAGACAGATTCTGGAGTGTAACATTAATTCAAGTTAAAACTTATCTATAAATCATTCCTAATTAACTAATTTTCATATACATCTGTATTAGAAAAACGTGTAATTTCTATTTACAATTAATTTAATTAATAATACTTAGAACTACACTTCTATTCTGATGCACGATTCACCGTAACAGATGTAAATTCATTGTAACAGAGAGGAACATTCATTGTAAAATAGTTCTAAATTAATAGTAACAGAGACGAACATGTATTGTAAGAAAGATGATCATTTATTGTAACAGAGACGAACATTTATTGTAACAGAGATGACCATTTATTGTAACAGAAACGAATATTTATTGTAAGAAAGATGATCATTTATTGTAACAGAGACGAACATTTATTGTAACAGAAATGACCATTTATTGTAACAGAGACGAACATTTATTGTAAGAAAAATGAACATTTATTGTAACAGAGACGAACATGTATTGTAAGAAAGATGATCATTTATTTTAACAGAAATGACCATTTATTGTAAGAAAAATGAACATTTATTGTAACAGAGACGAACATGTATTGTAAGAAAAATGAACATTTATTGTAAGAAAGATGATCGTTTATTGTAATAGAAATTGTAGCAGAGACGAACATTTATTGTAGCAGAGACGAACATTTATTGTAGCAGAGACGAACATTTATTGTAGCAGAGACGAACATTTATTGTGACAGAGACGAACATTTATTGTAGCAGAAACGAACATTTATTGTGACAGAGACGAACATTTATTGTAACAGAGATGTAAATTCATTGTAATGGAGATGTAAATTCATTGTAACAGAGATGTAAATTCATTATAATGGAGATGTAAAGTCATTGTAACAGAGATGTAAATTCATTATAATGGAGATGTAAAGTCATTGTAACAGAGATGTAAATTCATTGTAATGGAGATGTAAATTCTCAGAGATGTAAATTCATTGTAACAGAGATGTAAATTCATTGTAACAGAGATGTAAATTCATTGTAACAGAGATGTAAATTCATTGTAACATAGATGTAAATTCATTGTAATGGAGATGTATATTAACTGTATTTTATCCGTTCGATCATGCTAATTTCGAGCTGTATCGTTAAATAGCATCACTGGTCAGTTATTCATGGCTGTACCAAATATTACTTAGGATCTACTAAAGTAACACAGCTACTAAATGCTATCACGTTACGTCTTTACCACCGTATGAACTTTCTGAAGATTGTCTCTTGCGCATGATCAGACACACAAGAACGAGGACGGCTAGGACTACAACAGCAGAAAGAACAACTGGGAGAAGTATTTCTAGCTCCACGGAGAAGGAGACTCTGTCCTCATCGACCACAAAGGTTTTCATGTGATTGTCTAAAGAAAAAAAAATGTTTACATGAAGTTTTCACATAGGCGGCAAAACAAATGTGAATTTGTTTTTGAATTTTTTTTTTTGGGGGGGGGGCACCTTATTTATCATTTTAACTATGACCGTACTATTTAAAAGTTGATGACATATAGTGATGATTATACATTAGTCTCTATTCCTCATTAAAAGGGGCACTTTACTACCAAAGCCAAAATTGGGACCACTTGTTCCAGTGTTCCCCCGGTTCAGCCACCTATCAGTTTGCACGTTGTTATTTCGACCCGATTACATCGAATTTTCATGAAACACCAAAGAAACAGTATTTTAAGTCCTATTATCTGTGAACTGGATTATGGATGATGCAAGAAAACCCAGTTCTCTTCTAAAACGCACAGTTTGTTAAGTTTTTCCGCGTTAAGAAACCACACTCAACAGTGGTATAAAAACGAGCTTCACGGTACAACCAGGGATGTACAAGCCTCTTTATTCACACCAATATAATTTCACACTTTGGGCAGATACTTCAGAATACGAATGTGATTTCTTACCGACAACTTTGGCTGGAGTATAAAAAGAATATTCTGCTTCAGTTGACCCTGCAGGACTGCCCGCCGTGGTCAGCAGCTGGTAAGAAGAACCCGGAAGCAATCCGTGGATGGTCACTCTCTTTAGGTCTGGACTCACGTCACCCGTGTACTCGCGCCAGGCTTTTTCGTGTTGTGCCTTGTACTGAATGTCAATGGAAAGAACAGCGCAGCCCTCGCCGTACCAAGCAAGAAGATCCAATGTCACTGACGTAGTGTTTATCTTGAGAAAACGCTGTTTCTGGGGTGCAACAGGTGCTGAAAAAACAAACAAATAAACATGTTTCGGGTTTATGGGGCAATAGGCGCTTAAAAATCATAAGATAAACTGTATCAACTAAATTTGGAAGCAGTGAAAAGACAAATTTCAAAAAAAAGTTTTGTTATAAAGCACAAAGCTACACAATGAGCTATCGGTGCTCGAAATGTGGTTTATTTAGTTGTATATTTGTCTCCCATGTGTGTGAGTGTGTGTGTAGCTATGCATATGTATGTGTGTGTGCGTGTGTGTAATTATAAATGTATGTATATTTGTGTGTGTTGGGTGATTATATACGCATGTCGTATTTCAAGGAAACCCATTGGTTCTAGTTTTATTCTAATCTGTGTTGTTGTTGTTGTTGTGGTTGTTTTTCCTATTGCCCCAGAAACATCTCTGTTTGTTTGTTTGTTTGTTTTTTAAATAACTCTTCGCTGTTATTTTTTCTCAGCGATAAGTCAGTGGGCTTATGACATTAGAATTCTAGCTGTTTTAGCTACTGTAGAGTGTTTTAGCTACAAGTATTTCTATAAAAGCCTGTAGACTGTTTTAGCTACAAGTATTTCTATGAAAGCCTGTAGACTGTTTTAGCTACAAGTATTTCTATGAAAGCCTGTAGACTGTTTTAGCTACAAGTATTTCTATAAAAGCCTGTAGAGTGTTTTAGTTATAAGTCTTGTATGTGTGAATAATTTGTTAATGCTAGTTTTCTATAAATTATGTGATACATTTTAATTAACTATTTGGTTCTTTAAATTTGAAATTAGGCTACCAATTTTATTCGAAACCTGGTGATGAAAACTGGCAAGAAACCAAAGTACCTGGGGATGTTCAGGATTATACCTTTGTAAACCTTTTCTGTGGGACTCGATATGAAATCTACGCTGTACCTTACAACGACGCCGGCAGAGGGCAAGCTAGTCAAATTATCACCACAAAAACAAACGGTAGAGGTAATATTATCTTCTTTTTTATTGTTGAATTAAAGAAAATTCTGCCTTTAAAATATTTTTAGATTAATAATCATAAAAACTACTGTGTCTTCAAATACTGAGTGTTAATGAGTTAATTAAAAAGGTAACCCTAACATTGAAGCTTAGATTTTACTGTTATTATTGTTACTACTGAGTGGATTCCCAAAATACTATCACGTTTGATAAGTTCAAACCCAGAGTCGTTAGTATATCGTCTAAGGTTGTTTAGTGTTAGTGAAACATTTATGTTCTGATAAAACTCGTTTTATTAAATTTTTCAAAGATTTGTGCATGTTCTACAGGCTTTCATAGAAATACTTGTAGCTAAAACAGT